CAAAAATTGAGTAATACTATTCGTAGTAAAAACTGTCAGTAGTCGTCCTATGTGACATACACTTAACAATTTGGTATTTGATACATAGATATAGTAGTTATTTTTTGAATTATACATCAAATAAAAAACTGCCAAGTATTCGCCACATAAGGCGACTGTCGGTAGTCTTTACTGCAAATAACATTATTCTCAAAAATTAAGTAAGACATTTGGTACAAGTCGATTAATCCTATAAATTTTTCCCTCCCTCAAAATTTTTTCCCTCCCTCTTAATTGTCACTCACTCAATTAGGACAAATCCACGTCCAACCCGACTCACATTTCAAATGGAAAAAAATATTTGAGGGATTAAGACTGAGCATCCAACCATGGTTGCTCCGCTTTTTCCCCATAAATTATTCTTTCCCTAATCTCCATTCGCCAACACTGATATTTGACTTTTGCTTCCATTTCTCTTCAGTAGCAATTCTCTTACATAGAGAAATTGCACAAAAAACCCTTGAGAATAATCTACATATGGCAGCAGCAAGCAGTGTAAAAGTGCCTAGGATCAAGCTGGGTTCGCAGGGACTAGAAGTGTCTGCGCAAGGACTCGGATGCATGACCATGACTTTCGCAATCTACGGGCCTCTGAAGCCTGAGTCCGACATGATAAAGCTCATTCGCCATGCAATCAACTCCGGCATCACCTTCCTTGACACCTCCGACATCTACGGACCCTACACCAACGAAATCCTCCTCGCCAAGGTCAAATTCGAACACATACACACGAATGCTTGTAGAAGAATGATACCCCATTAGTTGCGATATAGTTGTAGATATAGAATCTAATGTGTTGTACATTGTTTTTTAAGTACTGTACTTAGAGTTGGCAGGATGGAGCTACTATATACGTTATTATTTGTTTTTATTTGTTTTTATTTTTTATTTTTGGATTATTACATTGATCGGAGAAAATGCTGTCAATCTAGTTTCTATCTGCTGGAGAAATTAAACAACTGTAGCACTTACTGCCTTATTACCCTTCTTGATGTTAGTAAATCCCTTTTTTTCTGGCTTGTTTAGTATTGTCTTTCACTCCTTGTTGGGGTTCATGTTTAATATATGAATTTTCGTAACATTTATATATTGTTTGCTATCAAACTCTGTGCTTCTCGTAGGCAAAGAATGGGATGAGGGAGAAAGTACATTTGGCTACAAAATTCGGGAGGAGAATTGTTGATGGACAGAGAGACATATGTGGAGACCCTGCCTATGTACGGGCTGCTTGTGAGGCCAGCTTGAAGCGGCTAGATATTGATTGCATTGATCTTTACTACCAACATCGCACTGATACACGCGTGCCTATTGAAGTCACAGTTAGCCTTCTATTCCCCTTTATTTCCCTTTTAAGTAACTCACAGTTCAGATATACAAACTTTGATTGCAAGTAGCTCTTGTTATTGATATGTTATGGCTCTCAACATGCGTAACAATGAAGTGAGCCAAAGGATTTGTTTATTGAAGCTTGGATTGGTTCTTTAGTAAATTTAAAATGGAGCTTAAGCTTCGTGTGATTTCATAATGGGCATCTGATGAATGATCTTTTATCCTGCTGATTAACTCTAGTTTCTCTGCTGTCTTTCCATATTTACTATTTATTAGTTTATTGAACCAAACTTGAGTTATTCATGATAAATTGATGAAATTTAAACACTGTAGAAGTCAAGAAATAGACAAAGATCAATAGGGAAACCGTGCAAGGCAAGCAAACATTTCCCTTGAAAAGCAATGCAGCAACACAATAAACATAAGTAGTTTTGTAATGTGGAATAAATTGTGCTGATTTAGCATACTGCCAAATTGGATAAAGTCCATGCTAAAATCACGCTAAGTATTAGGATTCTTTCTAAATTTGGGAGTAAGGCAAAATTGATCTCTGTACAGAGTCTATGGCCTCTGGAATGTCCGTTACAGGCCTCTGGAATGTCCGTTACAGGCCTCTGGAATGTCCATTACAGGTGTGAGCTTATTGTTTATTCCTTACATTTGACCTTCTAAACTTATTCATTGAAACTTCGATAAAGGATTCGACAGTGGATACTAGCCTCAAAACACTCTTCCTCACATTCAGAATATTCTATAGAATTAATAACAAGAATCTCATCGTCTACCTGGCCTTGAATGACAACATGACACACTTTTTGGGAAACAGATTGAGACTAGGTGGGCAAGGAAGAAACATTATCTTCAACCTTGTTAGTCTCAACAGTTGTATGAGGTTTTGTGCTATTTGTTATTCTAGGAAGATGAGACAGACTACTAGACCTAGTGAATGAGTGGATGCATGCTGCAAAATATAAGAAAGGAAGTACTTTTCAATTTTCATGCACTGTTAATTTTGAATTCCTCTAATGACTCAGGTGAACATAAAATGAGCTAATGCTTGATATCAGGGTTCAAACAGTTGGCAATCTAGAAAATGTGACATTGGGATTTTCATTAATAATACAAAAGTAAAGTAGCTTCTGCACTGTACCATGCCTATTGTCTTACATATTATTTTATAAATGCATGTCTCCCTTGTGTTCTTACACTTGATTCTAACGTTTCTTACTTAAGCTTCTCCTGACTACTTTGGATCTCTCTTTATGCAAGATAGGAGAAGTAAAGAAACTGGTGGAAGAAGGCAAAGTAAAATATATAGGTCTGTCAGAGGCCTCAGCTTCAACAATCAGAAGAGCACATGCTGTTCATCCAGTAACAGCGGTGCAGCTGGAATGGTCTTTGTGGTCCAGAGACGTGGAGGCAGAAATCATTCCCACTTGCAGGTTTCACGATTATATGAAAAATTTTATATTTTGAGACTATAAGCAATACAAATTTCTAACTCTATATATACTGTTGAAATGTTTAGAGAACTTGGCATTGGGATAGTAGCATACAGTCCTCTTGGACGGGGATTCTTCTCATCTGGTCCAAAATTGTTTGAAACTTTCAGTGAAGGGGATAGACGAAAGGTTTGTTTTGTACTTCGACAAATTATTATGTCACTGGTGTACACTGTACACTCCGTCAGCTTTACTCAATTTGTGATAGAATTATACCTAAGAATCTCTGGATTATGAATTGAGTTGTGGCCTAAATAGAAGCTCAAGGTTTTGAGCATGTAATTATTGCATTGGTAAGGGCAGCAATACTTTCAGATTACGCTCACCAAAATCATCTAAGTAATTCTGTTTTCTTTTTCTTGATTTATGTTCCAAGAGTAAAGTTTCTCTTCTGCAGTATCATTTATGATATTGCCCTAAGAGTAAAAGAATTGGCAGGTTCGACTTAGCTTCTGAAAACAGGTGGGATGCCAAAATTATGTTAGGCAACAAGAATGTTTAGTTCATTTCAATGGAAAAGTTGTGCGAAACAAATTCCAAGTCTTAAACTTTCTACTCTAATGACCATTTCACAGATCTCTCCCCTTGAATTGTGCACGTTAGTCTTGAGCCGTGCCTAGTTGTCAAATTCTTCCTTCAGCTAAATTATTTCTTCACAGTCTAATTAATGATCAACAGTAAACACTGATATATATGCTCAAGCTATTTTATTCCATGCAATCTTAGTTTCGACTTTAAAAGATGTACTTTACGTTTTGCAGGAGCTACCAAGATTCCAACCCGATAATCTGGAGCACAATAAGTGCTTGTTTGAGAGGGTTAATGATATGGCAAACAGAAAGGGATGCACCCCTTCACAGCTAGCTCTGGCCTGGGTACATCATCAAGGAAATGACGTTTGTCCGATACCTGGTACCACTAAACTTGCGAATCTTAATGAAAACATCGGAGCATTGTTTGTGAAACTGACGAAAGAAGACATGGCTGAGCTTGAATCTATTGCTTTAACCGTCAAGGGAAAAAGATCTACGCCTGCTATGGAAACATGGGAAACTTCAGACACTCCTCCTCTGTCAACTTGGAAAGCAACTGCATGAAGACTTATATTACCTTGTTGAAGCAGAGAGCATTAAATAAAATTAACACGATAACATGTATATCGTGGAATCTTATCTAAAAACCTTATGTGCATTTGAGGGTTCTCTCCTGCTTTTAGATGCACTACGAGTCAAAGTCGAACAATACAGAATAGTACGCGGCCTCGCTTCAATAAATTGACTGCTAAAATATCGAATAATACGACCTGTTGTTGCAAAGCCCGAATTTCCCCTTGAGCACCCATTTACGTTTAATTTAACGAACTCCAGATGTGCAATTTACTAACAGTCCTATTTGCGTAATTAACTGAAAATGCATTTTAACCGAATTTTCCTTTGACTAAAAATGTATTTTAAAATAGTAGATTGATAAAAAATATGTGATTGAAAAATAAGAAATAATTTTGAGTTTATGTGTAATATTATTCGATTGAAAAAATGTGTGGTTGAAAAAAAAAAAAAAAAATTGTACTTTGAGAATAACGGCTTAGAATTTTATATTGGCGCGTGTGTAGCGAGGGAATTAGCCTGAGGAGGCCCACTCTGCAATGCCACTGTTCACTGGACAAAGAAGATTCACCGAGTTGAGGATAGAAATGAATGGCTAAACCCCATATCTCTTCATTGTACCTGGCACGTATTATAGTGTGGTGTTCCTTAAATCATCTACAGCTAATTTCATAAACAGAGATCGAATAATTATGGAAGGAGAAAGTAGTGTAAAAGTGCCCAGAATCAAGCTGGGTTCGCAGGGACTGGAAGTTTCTGCTCAGGGATTGGGGTGCATGGGCATGTCGGCATTTTACGGGCCGCCGAAGCCCGAGACCGAGATGATCCAGCTCATTCACCATGCCATCAACGCCGGAATTACCTTCTTTGATAGCTCCGACGTCTATGGACCATTCACCAATGAAATCCTCCTCGGAAAGGTTAAACCCCAACTTAAGTGTTGTACTTATGCGTTAAAATTTGTACCTAGACGTCGGAGATGGAGCTTCTGTGGCATATTATGGATTTTAATTGATTATTAACAATATAACATTGTTTAAAGAAACTGATATCAGTGTTTCTGTCTTGTTTATTTATTGTTTTTCAGTTCTTATAGGTGCATTTGTTTAATATATGAAAGTTTAATGTTTATAATTGATTGCTATGTTCAAAATTTGTCTAAGCATAGGCTTTGAAGGATGGGATGAGGGAGAAAGCAGAGTTGGCTACGAAATTCGGGCTTCGGTTTTCGGATGGGCAAATGGGTATACATGGAGACCCTGCTTATGTACGGGCTGCCTGTGAGGCCAGCTTGAAGCGGCTTGATTTTAATTGCATTGATCTTTATTATCAACATCGTGTTGATACAAGTGTGCCTATTGAAGTCACGGTTAGAGCTGTACCCTCCCTTGTTCGAGTTTATTTATCTTTTATTTCAAACTCTTAGCAACGAATTCTTCTTGATGCCGATGAAAGATTAAATGGGATTTTGATGTAAGGTACCAATAAGCAAAACCGAAAGATCGATTGTTCAAGCTTTGGTTAATGCCTTAATAAACTTTAAACTGAGCTTAAGCTTCGCTTGATCTTAATGAGCTCATGTCAAGTAGCATTTATCTAACCAGTCACGAGGAGGACTCAACTCGTTTGGTGGTTTTTCATATATATATATATATATATATATATATATATATATATAGCTTACTGAGTGAGTTTAAGTTGGTCTTGATAAACAATGAACTCTAAAAACGTGTTATAGTTTGGGTTTTGACTATTGTACCATTCCCATCCGAGCTTTAACTTAGCGATGATCCTTGAGCTTGTATCTTAAGTTGTTTGAAGTAACCTAAGAACCAAAAATTGAAATAATAGGATGATCGAAAACTTGTAAAAGCATGTTTGGAAAATGTTTATAAATGGAAATAAATGGTAGTACTTGTGGTTAAAGGGTGGCTTGAGTGTCTATTGACAGTTAAAAAACAAAAGCTGAAGGAGATCATAAGAAATTTAACATAAGTTTGAACTTCTGGTTGCCTTATATAAAATTGACGTTTGTAGTTCCTGGTTTTTTATCATGCCTAACACATATGCTATTATACAGAATTGCTTTGATTGTAGCCTAAGTCACACTAGGATGCTAACGCTTTCGAATTATATTTAAATGTGATAAACAATAGTACAATAATAATTTGTCTATTTTCAATAAACTTGGGGCAATGACGTAAATCATTTTTCACCACTTCATCATGTTAATTACCAGTCCATCTCTTGGACTTCTTAACTCAAATCACATCACTTTTAGAATCAGAAGTTCTTTAGGTCCAACAACAATATTGTGTGTTTCATTTGTAAATTAACACCAAAAGAATTGAATACTTTTCGAATGAGCTAGTTGTTCGAGTAAATTCCCGTAAGCGTATGGGTTCGTTGACAAGTAATAATTGTGATGAGTAAAGTATCGTCCCACAGGGAATAAGGATTAATTCTAGGATATTTGATAAATTTGAATTCGTGTTTGTGACTAAAACTATCGAATGAATAATTAACGGATTTTTAAAACTAAAATTTATAAAAGTAATGGAGGTTGATTTAAAACTCGAATATACGAATGTATTGGATTTCAGACGCCATCAACAACAATATTGTGTGTTTCATTTGTAAATTAACACCAAAAGAATTGAAAACTTTTCGAATGAGCTAGTGCATCAGTCTCTTCCCCCAATCATAGTGTTTGAAAAAATTGGTAAGTCGATTGGTGCTTCTGAAATCAGTTCATTTTTTTTATTAACTAGTTAAAACAATTGTGACATGGTGACACTAGCTTTTTAGATTCTTATTTTATGTTCCATTCAATGAGGTGATTCAAAAGACGTTTTTCTTCTGTAATGGGAGTAAACATCCAAAAGATCGATGGAGGAAAATTTTCTATTAGTTTCCATCTGTTTTTATTTAGCAATGAGAAAATTTTCCCCTTAGAACCATCATCATACAGACCCAGTAAAAAAGTTTTAAGATAAAAGAAAAAGGAAACAAAGGAGTCCAGCCATAGTCCAATCCTCTCAACACAATGAGAATTGATGGGACCGTGGATAAGAAAACAAGTTTGTAGTACAAGCAGCAACACAATACTTGATGCATTTGTGCATGTTTGGTTATGGATACGTTCTTTTTATACTTTTGATTTTAATTCCATACTTGTGCATCTCCTTAATGCTTTTTGTGTTTTCTCATGCAAGATGGGAGAACTAAAGAAACTGGTGGAAGAAGGTAAGATAAAATATATAGGTCTATCTGAAGCCTCTGCTTCAACCATCAGAAGAGCGCATGCTGTTCATCCAATTACAGCGGTGCAGTTGGAGTGGTCATTGTGGAGCAGAGATTCAGAGGCTGAAATAATTCCCACTTGCAGGTTTCATGATTATATATTGATAATTTTATATTTTGAGCCAAAATGTAAAATAAAATTTAAAATGATCTTTAGTGAAATTGTTTAGGGAACTTGGCATTGGAATGGTGGTATACAGTCCTCTTGGACAGGGATTCTTCTCTTCCGGTGCAAAGCTGGTTGAAACTTTGCCTGAAGGAGACTTTCGAAAGGTTTGTATAAACTTTACATTTCGAGTTTCAAATTATGCTTGTGCATCCATTATCGTGCATATTATTAATAACCCTTTCCAAATTTGTAATATTTAACTAAAACATTTGGAATTACAAAGATCAGGTTAATGTCTCCTCCATTTATTTATTTATTATTATTATTATTTTTTAAATTCTCAATTGCTTTGATCTTTTTACTTGGTTTTAGGTTTGTCTTTGAAAGATTGCACTTTTTATTTTGCAGTCACAACCGAGATTCCAACCCGAGAATCTGAAGCATAATAAGAATTTGTTTGAGAGGGTCAATGATATGGCAAACAAAAAGGGATGCACCCCATCACAGCTAGCTTTAGCCTGGGTTCATCATCAAGGAAGTGACGTGTGTCCCATACCCGGTACCACGAAAATTGAGAATCTCAATGATAACATCAGAGCATTGTCTGTAAAACTGACAAAAGAAGACATGGCTGAGCTCGAATCCATTGCTTCAGCTGATGCAGTGAAGGGTGATAGATATGGATCTGAAGTTCCTACATGGAAAAATGCAGACACACCTCCTTTGTCGACTTGGACAGCAGCCGCATGAAGAAAAACAGCCTTTTCTGTATGCTAATATTACTTAGTAGACAATTTGTAATTGTTCATTTCACTATTGAGTTGAAGATGTCGAATAAAATTAACAGTACATGTTATAAGCAAGCAGTCATTGCTAGAAATTGTGTACGCTTGTCATATACTCGGACAATGAAATTGCAGGAGAAATGCATTACTAGGAAGTAACTAGTAGAAATAAAAATTTCAGGAGCACAGAGAATTATTTTTATCCTTAAGGGCCTAGATGTTCAACCTTCGGTCTAATTACCACATTGAGCATCTATAAATAGATGTAACTCTAAATCTACTAGAATCAACCAAGAATCGTTACAAATATATCCTCTCGCCTCTCTAAAAATATAATCAAGTAAACTCTTTACAATCTCTTAAATTGCTCACTAAAAAAAACAAAGAAAAATCTCAGCAAAACATTGCAGAAATTGAACACTAAGAAGAAAAATACATAACACTTTGAGATAAATCCTAGAGCACACAAAGAAGCCACACTGCAATATGAGAGACGTCTGAGGCTTTATATTCTAACCCAGAAGTCACCAATCCAACGGCCGGGAGAAGGCCAGGTGTAAGGCCAGATCTCAGTCTTTAATAGAGGCAAAGTTGCATTTTCGGCAAAACACGATTTTAGCAGGTAAATAGGCTTAGACCTGAGACACATTCACACCAGCCCAAGTCCAGTGTACTCAGGTCTCAATACCAGTGAAGTAGACCAATTCAACAACAGGCATTGCAGAAAGAGACACAGTATTGGGTTTGTTGACGTTGAAAATTGCAAGGCCAAACGTCAAGAAATTAAAACCCAGGGAAGCATGCAAAGGGACAAGCGAGCTTACTGTTGTGAACCGGGGCAAAAGAGAATGCGTCAACAAAGTTGTGTAAGAAAGGTTGAAATCCAGACCATGTAATTTTCAAGCCTTCAAGAGCCAAATTCTCAGTCAATTCGGTTACCTGATAAAAGTCAGGTAAACTTGGGACAAGAAAAGGGTAGAAATTTTGTACAGACTGAAAATGGATCAAATTTTATACGAAAATTTCACATTAAAGCTAACTTAAAGTTTGTCATTGGATAAATATATCCAAGAAATTGATATTCTCTAAAATTAGTGACATTTGGTTCCTAAAAGTGATACTGTGAAATTAAATATTATCAATACAGAGTTGGAATATAATCAGCAGATTTATGCATTAGTTTGAATGTATATTAATTGAATAAGTGCCACTAGTCTATTAGGGATTGCACTTGTGTGCTGTTGTTCTTGTAAGTGTTATGCCCTAAATCCAATCGATTTAGGTTGTAAACGCTTTTAATATATTTAATGCATTTGATTTTGGCGAGATCTATTATTTATTTAAATTAATTTTGTAATAAATAATATTAAATAATAGAATCCGAAGATCCAATTTTTAGGTAATCTGTTGATCACAAGGAGTTGTGATTGTGAGATACAAATTACATATAATTGGATCTTGAATAAACCATGGTCGTAAGTAATAACGAGATACGGATATCGTTAATACAGTGAGACCATCACGGGTGGCATTTCTTACTTGTGAAGTAAGTAGCCGATCTCACGAGTTAAAGTGTGGTGACACTTAAATGAACACGTGGATGTTTTGTTATAGAATAAAACATTGGAGACCCGCTAAGAGATTCCACAAGGATAACTATCTGAGTGTCGTGGCTAATCTCTAACGTTCGGTAGTGGAATTAGTCCTTTGACTTGAGGTCGTCATGATACCTTATATGAGGACAATCATACTTTGGCGGTGTTGGATGTTGCTCTGAAAGAGGCCGCTAATACGACATCGTTCGGGTACGTCAAGAATCGTATGAAGGTTGTGATTGATCAATAAATGATTCGTCACTCTTAGATAGTAGGAGATTATGATCTGCGTTTCATTCAATTAAGTCGATGATGAAATCCTTGGCCAAGGTGTACTCATAAGTCGAAAAGGAGTTTTCGATTTATATTGACTTAATAGTGGAATGAAAGATATGATCGATGATCGAGATTGACACAATTTCATATCTCGTAATTGATCGGATCGTATTGACGAAGGGATAATAGTTCCACGGTAAACGAACGAATTTGGTTTTGTCATACCACGTGACATTTTCCGTCACATGTATTGCCCTGACACATTGCTACATGTCAATCAGGAACAGCGAATGTGAATTGACGATAAATTAAAAGGGTGTATTAATTTATCAATTTTGATTAGATCAAAATAATATTTCGGTCGGGAACCTAATGGGTCGCACACAAAAGAGAATTGGAAGACTGCAAATTGTCAATTGATTAATTTAACAATCGTTGGATAAATTAATTAATTGAATTTGTTATTTATAATCCCGAATTAATTAATTGGATTAATTAATTCACGGACCGGGTTTGATTAATTGGATTAATTAAATATTGGACCGGACCGGGCCGGGTCCGTTTGGGTTTATAAAAAATTGGACCGGACCGGGCCGGGTCCGTCTGGGTTTATATTATATGCAGTTAGGGTTTGAGGTCCATAAGTTATTCATTATTCTTGCTAGCATAAGAAAGAAACCCTAGCAGTTGCTGTCTACTCTCTGTGTGAATTTCATTGGAGGCTGGACAATTGGACAGCTGTGGGAGGCAGATTCAAGCTGTTGGAAAGGAATAACGCGAAGGAGTTTGCAAATCACAAGTAAAGGTATATTTTTCATCACAGTTTTTATCTAAATACAAAGCTGAATCCTGAATGAAAATTGAAATTTGTTAAATTTCGCTGTGCATGTTTAATTAAGTAAATTCTCAATTGTGGTATCAGAGCTAACTTTGTATTTGTTAGGAACTGTTTAACGTGTTGATTAAATTAAATGTTATTTTAATCACGTTCATTCCTAAATCTAGCAAATATAATTTTAAATTTTTTTTGTCTTTTTGGATCTGTTCTTGAAAAAAAAAAAAATTTGGGTCGAGGGGCGGGGCGGTGCCGCCGTGCGGCGCTGCAGGCA